CCTGCTGTGTTCCTCCAGCTCCACACTATGTTATCTCCGGATAGGGAGCTCCTTGGTTTCTCCTTCCCTACCTCCTGGGATCAAGGGAATATGGGGAACGACTATACCCTGGGGCGATGCATCTTGTCTACTGGGACTGAGTGATTGCTTTCATTCTTTTGCTTAATATGGTCCCCACTGTTGAGAGAAGCGTTGCTAATTGCCCAAAAACTGAATTTCCGAGGGCAGCTAGGAGTCAAAACCACGTGGCTGTGGGTCTGCAATCATGTGGAGGCCAGACCAGGTAAGGATGGCAGCTTTCCTGTCCGAAAGGACATCAGTGAACCTTTAACAAAAACAGAAGATGCTGGAAAAGCTCAGCAGGTCTGGCAGCATCTGTGAAGAAAATAAATCAGAGTTAACTGTTCTGAGGAAGGGTCACTGGACTCAAAACGTTAACTCTGACTTTTTTCTTCACAGATGCTGCCAGACCTGCTAAACTTTTCCAGCAACTTCTGTTTTTGTTCTTGATTTACAACATCTGCAGTTCTTTTGGTTTTTATCAGTAAACCTTTGTTTGGCAAATTCTCCTGCTCATTGAAACAAGGTAGCATCGTAGAATGCCTATGGTGCAGAAAGAGGCTATTTGGCCCATCAAGTCTGCACCAATGCTCTGAAGAGCATCCCACCCAGGACCCCCACCCTATCTCTGTAACCCTGCATTTCCCATGGCTAATGCATCTAGGGTACACACCCCTGTACGCCATGGGACAATTTAGCATGGTCAATCCACCTAACGTTCACAATTTTGGACTGTGGGAGGAAACTGGAGCACTCGGCAGAAGCCCACATAGTCACAGGGAGGAGGTGCATACTCCACACAGACAGCCACCTGAACCTGGGTCCCTGCTGTGAGGCAACAGTGCGAACCACTGAGCTACTGTGCTGTTTTACGTTTTGTGAATTTACTTTAGATTCTTTGGTGGGATTTTAACCCACATCCTCAGGGTGTTCAACTGGGCCTCTGGTTTACTGGACCAGTGACAGTACCATTATACCATCTTCCTTCCTCCAAATGGTCATAGGAACCCAGTGACCAGGAGAGAAAGTGACTGACCATTGATTTCATTCCGACTCCACACACATGTACTGGAGAAACAAAACAGACTGGAGCGAGACGAAATAATGTACAATGTGTTTGGATTCAGCCCAGGCATGAGATGAAGGAAGTCTTGGGACAGGGAGTCACATCTTTAAGAGAGCCAAAGGTGATGAAATGTTCTGTAGAATCTAGAATTCTCTTCCTGAATTTCTATCTGGTACTTACAATGAAAGGTTTTGTGAACTAATTTTCCAGGCGATTAGAACAGGAAGATTCACGGACGGGAAACTCAGAAACAAGCTGAGCACCAAGATCGGGAGCTCAATATCCTCGGCCTTTGAATGTACACTGAGAAATGTTCGCATGTTCTGTCTGTGGGGGAAGACCTCAAACATCAGGGCAACATGAAAAGCACTAAGACACACACAGTTTTCCAGTGCAGTGCACTGGATGTGAGAAGAGCTGAAGACAGAGTGTGAAAAAGGCACACGGCAACCACAGGGGAGAGAAACCATTGACATGTTCTGTCTAACTTGAAGACATACAAGGACTCTATGGAGAAACCGTGGAAATGTGAGGACTGTGGGAAAGGGTTCAATTACCCATCCCTGCTGGAAAACCATCGGCGAAGTCACACTGGAGAGAGGCCGTACACCTGCTCTGTGTGTGGCGAAGGATTCACCCAGTCGTCTGGCCTTTGGTCACACCAGCGAGTTCACACAGAGGAGAAGCTGTTCAGCTGCACGGTCTGTGGAAAGCGGTTCAGACACTCCTCCACCCTCACTGTGCACCAGCGCACTCACACTGGGGAGAGGCCGTTCACCTGCTCTGAATGTGGGAAGGGGTTCTCTCAGTCCTTCCACCTGCAGACACACCAGAGGGTTCACACCGGAGAGAGACCGTTCACCTGCTCCGATTGCGGGAAGGGGTTCACACTGTCATCCCACCTCCTGTCGCACCAGCGGGTTCACAGTGAGGAGAGGCCGTTCAGCTGCCCGTCCTGCGGAAAGAGGTTCAGGCACTCATCAGCGCTCGGCCTGCACCAACGCACTCACACCGGCGAGAGGCCATTCACCTGCTCCGAGTGCGGGAAAGGCTTTACAGTTTTACCCACGCTGCTGAGGCACCAGCGGGTGCACACCGAGGAGAGGCCATTCAGCTGCCCGTCCTGCGGGAAGAGGTTCCGTCAGCCTTCCAACCTCACGGCCCACCAGCGCACCCACACGGGCGAGAGGCCGTTCACCTGCTCTGCCTGCGGCAAGGCCTTCACCCGATCTTCCAACCTCACCGCCCACCAGCGGGTCCACACCGGGGAGAGGCCGTTCGCCTGCTCGGTGTGCGGCAAGGCCTTCACCAAGTCTTTCAACTTGCTGACCCACCAGCGCACTCACGCCGAGGGGAGGCTGTTCACCTGCTCGGTGTGTGGGAGGGGGTTCGCTCAGTCCCGCTGCCTCCTCAGGCACCAGCAAGTTCACCAGTGACTGCAGTCGTTGGATTCTTCTGCTGTTAACCGTCTCCCGGATCGACATTGGCCAGATTTCTGCTGACATTCCCAGTCCCTGGAACCGGGTGCGGGTTTTCACATCCTGGATACGTTACTGAATTTCAGAGCTATGGTGACTCTCTGAAAACAACATCTGTGATCTTTCCTCTCTATTCAAGAACTTGCAACAGGAACTCGATTGTGGGAACACGATGAACCTTTGCTTCAATATCCCAATCCCGCGCCGGCACATCCACTACACGATACATTTTCCGTGAAATTCTCTCAGACTATGTGTTTTGTTTCAGGGATTCCAATTCCATTCACGCGTTCTGCATTTCCATGTTTTCTTTTTCAGGTTCCTTCTCTAGTTGGCTAATATAGGACACATACCAAAGACTGTTTCTAGGTATATGTGAGTAATTAAGTCTTTTTTAACTTGGAACCTACAAGTAAGACATTTATTAATTTATTTTGAATGCGGGAAACGTATTCCATTCCCGACATTCTAAACTACTTCGCGCTGGGTCTTACTGTAAATGAATCCCTCCTGCAGCCCCTAGACAGTGGGAAAGGCAGAGGTGAAAGTGCATCTCCTGAGCTTGCATGGGATTGTGCGTTAGGAAGGTTAAAGGTTCTATTTCCATTAATAAACAGACTGTCCAAAGGATCTGCCTCGTATACTGTCTTTCTACATGCCTGACATTCGGCATGATCTCAGCTCATATTATTACATGGCAGTTTGGATCCCAGACTGAAATCTGGCTTGATGAATCATATCTTGTTTTGGTTTTGACAAGATTGTCTCACTGAAATATCATGTGCATAATGCTATTGATTTGCCTTCTAACAGGGAAACTAAATTTTATTAAGCAAAAGAAATGGCAATAAAATACAACAGACCAAACTATTTACATATGATACACCTTTAAAGATTTTGCAACACGTAAATATAAAACACTTAATTGGTACAAAATTGGCTTAATAGCAGAAGACAACAGGGAGGCTATGCTGCAGCTGTATCGGGTGCTGGTGAGGCCACACCTGGAGTACTGTGTACAGTTCTGGTCTCCTTACTTGAGAAAGGATGTACTGGCACTGGAGTGGGTACAGAGGAGATTCACTAGGTTGGTTCTGGAGTTGAGAGTGTTAGGAGGAGAGATTGAGTAGACTGGGACTAGACGTATCGGAATTTAGAAGAATGAGGGGGATCTTATAGAAACATGTAAAACCAGGAACAGAATAGGTAAGAGAGAGCAGGGAGTTTGTTTCCACTGGCGGGTGAAATGAGAACTGGGGAGCATAGCCTTAAGATAAGGGGGAGTAGATTTAGGACTGAGTTAAGGAGGAACTTCTTCACCCAAATAGTTGGGAATCTGTGGAATTCCCTGCCCAGTGAAGCAGTTGAGGCTACCTTGTTGCATGTTTTTAAGGCAAAGATAGATTATTGAACAGTAAAGGAATTAAGGGTTATGGTGAGCGGGTGGGGTAAGTGGAGCTGAGTCCACCAAAAAGATCAGCCGTGATCTTATTGAGTTGCAGAGCAAGCTGGATGGGCCATGTGGCCTACTCCTGCTCCTATTTCTTATGTTGTTTTTCAGACTGGAGTCCTGTGACCAGCGGTGTTCCACAGGGATCAGTGCTGGGGCCACTTTTGTTTGTCAGTTATATAAGTGAGAATATAGAAGGCATGGTTCGTAAGTTTGCGGATGACACGCCTTCATTGCTCAGACCTTTGAGTATAGGAGTTGTGATGTTATGTTGTGGTTGTACAGGACATTGGTGAGGCCTTTTCTGGAATACTGTGTCCAGTTCTGGTCGCCCAGTTATAGGAAGGATATTAAGCTGGAGAGGGTTCAGTAAAGATGTACCAGGAAATGGAAGTTTGAGTTATGGGGAGAGGCTGGACAGGCTGGTACCATTTTCACAGGAGCGTAGGAGGTTGAGGGATGACCTTGCAGAAAAGCACAGATAAAATCATAAGGAGTACAGATAAGGTGAATTGCAAGGATCTTTTCCCCAGGGAGGGGTTTTCAAGAACAGGAGGCATACTTTTAAGGTGAGAGGAGAAAGATTTAAAAAAGACATGAGTGGCAGCATTTTATTTTACACAGACAGTTGTTCGTGTGCGGAATGAACTTCCAGAGGAAGTGATGGATGCGGGTATAATTACAACGTTGAAAAGGTATTTGGATAAGTTCATGAATCGGAAAGGTTTGGAGGGATATCGGCCGCACACAGGTGGGACTAGTTGAGTTTGGGATTATGGTTGGCATGGACTGGTTGGACAGAAGGGTCTGTGTCCGTGTTGTATGACTCTATGACTTACGGATCTCAAAACAGTTCTGTACAGTTTTCCCATCAGAGGAAAATAATCAGTGTCTTAACACCACGTTAGCCTTAATTTAACTATCGACTCTCTGCCTGGAAAAATTTGAGCCACTTCCTGGAGCTTTCACACACCTGAGTTTAAATGTACTCGGCTTCAAATAACCTCTGTTTTATCAAAATACGTCTGATTTATGGCTGTCACTAAACTCTTGTTCTCTGTCGTAATCTATTTACAATCTTCTCCTGTACTACTTTATAGATACATCTTCAACGACACGTGCAGAACTGCTCCAAATTGAAAATTTAAAAAACAATACACTTTCTTTTCCTCCAAGCTATGGATGTTTTCTTTAAGCAATAAAAAGTTCCAGAATTCTCTCTGAAAATCTTGGTGCATAATTATTTATTCATTCCCCCAAGGTGAATTTTGTTTTAAAAACTTTGGTTCTGAAAGTTAATCCCTAAGGTTGTTTTAAAGAAATCATCATGGCTACAGATATTCCTACAAATTAGTCGATGCTCAATAACCCATATGTCATAATCAAAATTCAAAACTCCAAAATTTAAATTAAAAATCTAAAAAACAAAATCAGTCTGCATCAGACATTAATTTTCAGCTGGCACGGAGAAGTTTAAATTGTAATTGAATGTCTTCTTGTGCTTCTTTTCTCTTTTCGAAGCTCTTTTGAAAAATGTATCATGTGATAGGGTTCATAACAAAATCCCTTGTATTGAGTTTCCTGTCCGTGAAGGTTGGGTGGAGAGTGCGAGAGGGCGTGCCAAGAGCAGGATCAGACACACCTCAAAACGAGGCATCCAACCTACAACAGCTATAACAGGGGACGAACTTCTCTTAAACAAAGAGGGATCTGAAACCAACAAAAACAGTGCTGAAGAAACTCGGCAGTCTATTCCCACCTGCTGGATGACAGCGGAGAAGAATCAAGTCACCAGACTCTAAACGTTACCTCCGTGTCTCGCTCCACAGATGCTGCCAGACCTGCTGAGTGTCTCTGGTGTTCTTTGACAGAAAACAACTTCTGTGCCGAACAGCAGAGCAATGTGCATTAGATGTAGAAATCTAAGCTCTGTAATCCTGCCACGTGCCGTTCTGAGGCGGAGACTCTGCAAATACAGCAAACTTTTTTTGTTAACTGGCACCTACAGGAGTGTAACTGTTGATCAACTATTCCAGTTAATCAAGAGGTTCAGGGTGGCTTGGTGGTTAGCACTGCGGCCTCACGGTGCCAGGGACCCGGGTTCAGTCCCACCCTCGGGCAACTGTCTGTGTGGAGTTTGTACGTTCTCCCCCATGTCTGTGTGGGTTTCCTCTGGATGCTCCAGTTTCCTCCCACAGTCCAAAGATGTGCAGGTTAGGGTGGATTGGCCATGCTAAATTGCCCCGTAGTGTCCAGGGATGTATAGAGTAGGTGGATTGGTCATGGGAAATGCAGGGTTACAGGGATTGGGTAGGTGGGTGGGATGCTCTTCGGAGGGTTGGTGTGAACTCAATGGGCTGAATGGCCTGTTTCCATAGAATGGATTCTATGATTTGAAGGTCCAGGAAATTAAAGTAAAAGCACATACAAAGTAACAGAAACATAATTCAGGGGGTATATACATCATTGTTATGCTTTATTTACAGCATAAATAACTTTCATAATAGTGCAACTCTGCCTTAAATAAAACTTAGCAGCAGAGAGCCTTCTCACTCGCACCCTCAACTGACCACTCGGACATCATGGAGATTGCGAATAATATAACAAAGTTCCAGTATTTCAGATAAATTACTTTTGCCAGTTTATCGGGTTCGGAAGATGCCAGTTAAAACAAAGTTTGCTGTATTCCCACCCTCAAAGATGGGGAAGCGCAACAGATAAATGGCAAAAGGCTCCAGTATTTGCCACCAACTGAAAGGAGACAAAATAGAAACTAACCTCTTCTAAATTTCCACCAAGTACTCACTGATGACCTTTATAAACTGTGTTTACAAGGGACCAGAGGGAGAAGATTTGCAGATTTTTCTTCTATTCGTTCACGGGATGTGAGTGTCACCTGTCTTCACTGCCTTGGAGAAAGTGATAGTGAGCTGCCTTCTTGATCTTCCACAGTCCTTGGGGTGCAGGGATGCCCACTGTGCTGATCGGAAAGAAGTTCCAGGACTCTGACCCAGTGACACGGAAGGAACGGCCGATATTTTTTCAAGTTGGGGTGGGGAGTGGCTCAGAGGGGGAACAGGCGGGGGGCTGGTGTTCCCATGTATCTGCTGCCCCCCCCCTTGTCCTTCTAGATGGTAGAGGGGTGTGGGGTTTTAGAAAGTGCTGTCAGAGGAGCCTTGGTGAGTTGCTGCAGTGCATCTTGTAGATGGTACACACTGCTGTTACAGAGCATTGATGGTGGAGGAAGTGGATGTTCGTGGATGTGGTGCCAATCGAGCGGGGGCTGCTCTGTCCCTGGATGGTGTCCAGCTTCTTGGGAGCTGCCTGCATCCAGGGTAAGTTGGGAATATTCCATCACACTCCTGACTTGTGCCTTGTCAATGGTGGACAGGCTTTGGGACGTCAGGAGGTGAGTGACTCGCTACAGGATTCCCAGCCTCTGACCTGCTCTTGTAGCTGCTGTGTTTATGTGGGGCTGGTCCATGTTCAGTTTCTGGTCAATGGGAACCACCAGGATGTTAATAGTGGGGTGTTCAGTGATGGCAATTCCATTAAACGTCAAGGGGCAATGGTTAGATTCTCTTGTTGGAGATGGTCATTGCCTGGCATTTGTGTGGTGCAAATGTTACTTACCAATTGTCATCCCAAGCCTGGAAATTGTCCCAAGTCTTGCTGAATTTGAACACAGACTGCCTCATTGTCTGAGGAGTCGCGAATGGTGCTGAACATTGTGCAATCATCGGCGAGCATCCCCACGTCTGACTTTACAATGGCGAGAAAGTCATTGAAGAAGCAACTGAAGATGGTTCGGCCGAGGACACTACCCTGAGGAACTCTTGCAGAGATGTCCTGGAGCTGAGATGACTGACCTCCAACAACCACAACCATCTTCATATGTGCCAGGTATGACTCCAACCACTGGAGAGTTTGCCCATTGATTCCAGTTTTGCTCAGGCTCCTTGATGTCAAGACCAGTCGACCATCTTCCACTGGGCCATGATGTGGATATTGAACCCCATACTTGCAGCAGGATTAAACAAAACCATACAGTTCAGATAGGGAGCTGCTTTATTCAGAGAAAGCCCAAACAAATGTATACTCTAAAGCTAAACGTCAGGCTGTGATTTACAGAACTACGTGAGCTCTGTGCCTCTAGTAGTACTTGGCTGGCACCGTCACC